CGAGGCTGCCCGGGACGGGGGCCCGGCCTGCGGCCCTCCCCACACCGGTGCCGGGTTGGGGGGCCCGGGCTGTTTCCTTAAGGCTTCCAGTCGTGTGAGTTCTGTACCAGAGCATGGTCGGGCCCAGCGCCAGCGGGCGCCGGGCGCTGGGGAAGGCAGTTGAGTCTCGCCCCGAGACACCTGCTGCTTCACCCTGCCCTGCGGCCCGACAGCAAGTGTCTCGCCCGGCTCCGTGCGGAGAGCGAAGAGAGGCAGTGTCGGGTAGGGCAGGCCTGGGGGCGGCGGGGGGGGTGGGCTCCTGGTGGTGTGACCTCTGACACAACTGCGGTGAGCGAGCCACCTGTGTTTTGGGTAAGCGAGTCTCCACCCTGTGAAGGTCAGTTCCTATGCTCAAAGCCCCACTGGACGTGTAAGGTGGTTTAATGGAGGCTGGGAATGTTTGGGAAGCACTGCTGCTGGTGATGGCTGCCTTTTGCTGCCTGGTGGTGTGGCATGGTCAGTGCAGCCAGCCCCTGGCATGGTTAGGGGCAAGTAGCTCTACTTGGAGAAAAAAAAAAATCTTTGCTCCTCTTTGCAAGTGGAAAAACTTGAGTTGTTCTTGCTGATGGAGCAATACCTAAAGCAGCATTCTGGCTTGCAAGGTCGTTGTTGTATAGCACTAATGAGGAACACTGACAAGGCTTAGTTGTCCAGCACTTCTTGGAAAATCGATGGTCTCTGAAGCTGTGGCGAGTGATGCATGTTATCTGTGGGGAGCCCTATCACAGTGTTCTTGGCTCCAAATCTGGTAGGAGTGTGTGGCAGCAAGCTAGCAGTCCTGAGTGCTGCTCTGTCGACCCCACCAGTGGGAAACCTTGACTGAAACCTTGACTGAAACAGGGTCTTCTGTTTACATCCTCCAGACTCTTGATCATATTCTTTTTTGTTGTTTCTTAGTGTTGGAGGTGGTTCATTACTAGTATTGTGTGTTCTCATCCAGTTTATCCATTTGTGAAAGTTAGTCCCTGGGGTGATATGAGGATGACAGTAGTGGATCAGACCATAGGACTTTTGTCCATTCTCTGATGATGGCTAGAAGTGGCAGCCCTGGTAAGAGTACAGGCTGAGAGCAAGTTTATAGCAGTGCATCCCCTGCATTGTGCTTCCAGTCTTGGGATTTCTGAATCTGTATTTAGAATCGATACTGACAAGAAAAGTCTAGTGCTTTTTAAACCCAGATAAACTTCTGGTGCAGCAATGTTGTGCTGCAAACCATTTCACCACTTATTTATCTGTTCTGTGAAATAGTATGACTTTCTGGTTTTGATGCGTTGTCTACCTGTGTCGCCTCACCACCCCAGTGCTTGTATTGGAAAAGTGCATGGATGTTCATTTGATAATTGTCCTTTCCAGGATGAACATCTAGACAGTGGTTTAATTTGTTTTAATTAACCAAATTTAATTTGGTTTAATTTTGTTTAATTTTCAAACCTGTAGTCTGTTTGTTTGTTTCTTGTTATGGAAACTGTTTCATACCAGTGACTAAGTAATAATATGAAAGTGAGGAATTGAGCATGTAATTTTCTTGGGCACTTTCAGCATGATGTTTTGGCTAGGATTAGGTTGCCAAACATATCCCAGTACTTAGAATGTGTATGAACTCATTGCAGCTGCTGTTCTTGAGTACTGGCAGCCTGTGAGGGCGGGTCCAGTGTGTCATCTGGAAGACACATCTGTATTAGAGAGTGTTTGGCTTTCCTTCTGTGTGTGTATCAACTAACCAGGTAAATAAAGAAGATGACTTCTTGCGACCTCAATCCATGATTGCAAGTAATCAGATGCCTGATGTTTTTATCTTTGCTGTCCTGCAATAGTTACAGTGCAATGTGAAAGAAGCAGCCAAATTAAGTTTTGAATATCTCTGAAATGTAAAATCCTCCTCATTAGGCTTACTAAGTTAGGCAAGCAAAGGAATGATATAGGTCTACTTGATTCAGTTTTGGATTTTAAATGCTTTTTCCTACTCGTGAGCCCAGCTGGTGAGGAAGTTTCACAGTTAAAGGCCTTCATGAAGCAACCGGAGAGGTTCCCGCATAAACAACTTTCTTGCATATCTGTTTGTAATTTAGTAGAAATGAAAGCGGGTGAACGTAGGAGTTACCAGATGTGGCAATATTCAACTTCTGCAGTTGAGTCTCCACTTCTTATTTAAAAAGTAAACTTGTTTTAACAGAGAAGCAGAAACTCAATCTCTCATAAAGCTCTGTAAGGAACATGTTTCTCGTTAAAGAGATTATGTTCTCGTATCTCCTGTGTCCCTTATCAAAGAGGCATTTGGCAACTTTGGCAATTTTGAGGAGTGCTTAAGTCAATTTAGCAGACAGAAACCAGGACCTAGAGCACAGGAGTCAGCTGACTGGAGGTCATGGTTTCATATCTGGTTTGAGCGAAAAAATAAAGCTTTGAAGGAGAAAAACTGTTCTGAATTCTGATAGGGGTATTGCCTGTTTATTCTGTAACTGCTTTTATAGTTGCTCTGCATTTTTTTTTTTTTATTAACTTGGTCTAGGAATAAGTTGTAAGAGTTGTGCCAGTGCCTGCTTTGAGGGCGGGGTGCATTGGGTGGCTCGCTAAGACAGGTGAGCTTGGTACCTATGTATGGGGAGGACGAGAGCCCGGCCTCATCACAGGCTCGGGGAAGTGGCTGCGGGCGCTGCTTTGCAGAGGACTGCGTTCCTGGTGTTGCTGCATCGCACGGAAGTTTGCTGCTGATACAGTATGTTGTTACAGTGGTTTTGGATGTTGTTTTCTGTTGTTTGGGTTTCTTTTGTTTTGAGGCCAGTTTATTGGTTCAACTCCCTCAAATTTTCCTTCAGCCTAATGTGAATGACCCTGTCCTGCTCTCTGGCTGCACATGTCTGGAGCTGGCTTCTGGGGCCAGGATAAGTATGAGCTACCTGGTAGAGAAGGCCTTGTCTCTCTGCTGGCACTTTTTTTTTTTTTTGCAGTCATGTATTTTTGACTGACTTGCATGCAGCCCTAGAAGGTCTTCAAAGACCATGTACAGTAAACTGTTGCTCAGAGTATGAACCGGAGGATCAAGAGATTTTTATTGTTCTGTAAATTCTGCTCAGCCTATTCTAGAAAAAACGGTGTGATGCATTGTGATTGTTTAGCTGTGCTTGCCTAAAATACATTTAAATATTTTCTCTTTGTTTTTAACACTTGATTTTTGTGTGTGTGTATGTTGTTGTTTCCTTTTTCTTCTAGAATTCCTCTGAGAGCCACAATTGTGCCAAAAGCATCTTGACCTCAGACAGGCTGCAGATAGTTGTGACCCTTTCAGAGTTCTTTAATGAAACCTGGGAGGCAGCCAACTGTGCAAGTACGTGACTCATTCTGTAGCTTTCATGCTACTGTTATGACTTAGCCCCTAAAATTTGCACAGATCAGAAATGCATGTATTAGTTTAAATACAGTCAGTAGATAACACAAAAATCCTGAACTAGAGCCACTCCAATGAAGGTACAAGAGCTTTTTATTCTGTAACGGATACTGCCAAAATCTGAGGGCAGTAGTCTTGTTGGAAAACTTAGTTGTTACATTTCTTTTAGCCTGTTCTTTCAAAAGGTAGTATTGCTGGTTTTCTTTGTGATCTACAGACCTCTCTGGAGACTTTCCTTAGCTTCATTGTGGTTTCTTTTGTTTTTCTGTCTTCCCACTTTTTAAAAAACTTAGATAAGAACCTTTCCCTTGTTTGTTAATAAAGTCAGCAACTCTGGGATGTTTACACATTGAACAGTATCTACCTCCACAACCATGCTTTTGATTTCATTTTATGGGTGGAGGGTGTCGAAGTCTATCCCTGTATCTCACATGCTGATGGTGCTGTGCCATGCTTACAGCTGAACTGTGGCTTTTTGCCATTCCCCTGGTGTGGGAAGTGGGACCCTACGTGAATAGGTGCACTAGAAAACAGAGGGAATAGCACTATGGAGGTGAGTGTGAAAGATCCTGGGTTTGTTGCAGAGCCCCTTGAGATCCCAGAAAAGTTTGTTTTCATTTGTGAGTCTGGGCTCTGTGAGGGCTGGAAAGGTGGTTCAGGAGGAGCTCTGTGGTCTGTGCTGTCCTGAGCTTGTACCTTGTGTGCTGCCTGCCCAGGGTCCAGCTGAACGCTTGCCCTCAGCACTGACGGTGCTTCCTTCTTTCAGGAGATTTTTCTAGGATGTTGGCTTGCTATCCTGGTGCTGTTGTTGAACATCTACATTCCCAAGCCACTGTTTTCAAGGGTCTGTCTGGTTAGAGCACGTGAAGTGGGGTGGGGTGGACAGAAGCAGTAACATGGTAGGATTGAGCCTATGACTGGGAAGAAAGCCCCAGAGCTCCCCTCAAAGCTGGTGAAATGGTCAGCTCTTTTCTTAAATGGTAATAACCTACCTCTGCTTCTGCTGTTGTGTTTGTGGTCTAGCTGTTTTGTGGATGCTCTTTTTCATCTCCATTGCTGGTGCTTCTGCTTTCACATAATGGCTGTTACTGTTGCTGGGCAAAGCCAGGTTTGTAGGGTAGAAAATAAAAGTAATGCCTTGTTTTACCTTGAAGTCCAAAGATAATTCAGACCCCCTCTTCAGAAAGCTCTTGATGATAGTCTTCATCTTTCACTTAATCAAGGCCAATTAATTCTGAAATATGTTCTCGATGAAGAGTTGTCTCAGACCTGCTGACCTATCAATGGCAGGCAGATAAGGAAACCACAGTGTTGACTAGACCTGTCTTTTATAGTTGAGAGCTCTTTTTGCAGGAGTGGAGTGTCTGGGGCTTATCAGCTATAGAAATGTTAGAAATTAGAATATCCTGATGTTTTTCTTTCTCTTTGACAGATTGTTTAAAGAACAGCAGTGAGGGATTGTCAAATTCTACTGTAGAATTCTTGGATTTATTCAATAAATCTCTGACATGTTTTGAACATAACCTTCAGGTATTTATACTGTATATTTAAGAGAAGCACTAAATCCTCTAATTGCTAGCAAAATCGTATTTATGCTGAATAAACTGCAGATATGTATTAGGCAAACAAACTGCGGGTGAGTTTGTGAATTTTAGGCAGATAAAGCAATGATCTGTAAAACACAGATGTTTACAGATTGAGAGCCTAAAATGAATTCTAACTGATATTCACCTTGACTTCATTTTGTATGTAATTGCGATGTTACTTCATGTCAGAATTTCTGAATTCACAATAGTTGATAATTATATAGTAAGAAACATATCTGCATGCTGCAAGTCTCTTTCTACCTCTTTGGAGAACCGTTGTCTTCTGACTTAACAATTCGGTCTTTAAATAGCCTTTTGATAGTATAGACTAGTTCAGAAAGACCAGTACCTTAAATAATTATAACAGTTCTTTTGACTAGTAAAATTATGGGTAGATGAAGTTTGTCCATATTGCAAAGGCACTTAGTGAAGTATATGTGGTAATTGTCCTCAAAGAAAATGCCCTAAATAGCCTAAGAAACTGCGCATATTTCATTTTCAGTTGGAAACTGGCCAAGTTCTGGGATCATTCAACGGTAAAAATGGGAAATGATGGGTATGAGACAATCTCTGAGGAAACAGTCTGCTTTTTTTATTATTAATGATTTCTAGGAAATGTGCCTTTATAAGCCCTGGCTGGGAGCAGTGTGGGCTGGCCTATTGATCAGTTCAAGTGCCTGGACTAGAACTTAACCCAGTGGTCAGTGGGTAGCTAATACAACCATTACTGGGATGAAATACCTTTAGAGATTGTAGTTTTGTTTTCAGGTGTGTTGTATTTGCATTCAGGGGTGGTGAAGGCCACAAAGGACAAGGATTACTTAGTATAGCAAAGTCTGTCCCTGTCAGTACAGCTCAGCAGTAACAACTGTTACTTGTTAGGTATGGGCAAATGAAAAACAAAACACAGTATTAAGGAACCTGATCTCTGGCTCCAGAATAACATTTAATTACTAGTAACTCTTTTTTTTGTCCTTCTGGGAACTGGTACTTTAAAATTAAGTGTTTAAAAAAAAAAAAAAAGCTGCTAGTTCAGGGAATAGTTTGAGATGCATAATCTGCAGGAAATGGATCCTGTCCCTAGTGAATTAGGGTTGGTCCCTTTTCCTCCCACATTCTTATGTGAGTTGTCTGTCTGGGCCTCTACTCAATCTAGGATGCTAGAAATCTGGATTTTGGTTCAAACTTGACTCTATTTTTACTTTTTTTTTTTATAATGCCTTAAGGCTTTGTATGAATGCTGTTTTATAACCCTAGGGACAAACCACCTATCTGTCACCAAATAACTACACAGAAGTGTGTAAAAACTGCAATGAAACCTACAAAATGTTGAATGACCTGTATAACGACTTGCAAAGGCTGAACAGGCAAGGTGGTGAGTCCGGGCACTCCGCGCACTTGTGTATCGATGTGGAAGATGCAGTAAGTATTTATTAATACTCACCAGGGAGAGCTCATCATGGGGGTCTTTACTAATTCCCTAGTTACTTCCCTTTCGGTGTGGGACAGTATGGGCAGCAGTGCCTTTGGCAGGCTGATGTCCCATGGGGGGGAAGTTAGCTTGGTGGGGCTGTCTTGCTAGGTCCTGTCCTCAGTCAGTGCAGCAGGAGCGTGGCTGAAGCTCCTGATCACCTGAGTGTATTCCAGTTTGTGTAGCTGCACTTTAATTTCTTGTTACTGTGAAGGGGATGGATTTAAAAAAAACCAAAAACCAAAAAACTCTTTATCTTCTGGCTTTTAATGTGAAGCTTTACTGCTATTATTCTAGCCAGTGTAATAATCGATTCCTTATTACAGCAGCTGTTTCCAGGGGTCCTCAGCATTGGCAACATATGTTTGGAAAAAGCTGTGTTATATTGTGGGGTTTTAAGTGCTTGGGCAAAAAGAGTCTGTCAAAAGTATGGGATTAGCCCTGTCTCCATAGGCTGTCAGTGAGTTCTCTGGGAAACAGGCATATCGCAGTGTCTACAGTGTATCTGAGTATGCTCTGGTTTTGAAGCTTGTAAAAGTTTTGATGTGAAATCTTGGCTCCGTTTAAATGGCCTGTTTTTACATTTCCAGGGATTTGCTTGCTTTTGGGGTGAGATCTCAGAAAACAACACTTTAACAGGTCATATTTGAACACTTGAATGTCTTGAGGCCTGCGTGTTTGCCACGCTGTAGAGCAAAAATGCACGTGCTTGCTTTCACGGCTTGCTTATGTTTTTGTTTTAGATGAACATCACTCGGAAGCTTTGGAGCAGGACTTTCAACTGTTCTGTTCCCTGCAGTGATACAGTCCCAGTGATTGCAGTTTCATCCTTTATTCTCTTCCTACCTATTGTTTTTTATCTTAGTAGCTTCCTCCACTCAAAGCAGAAGAAACGGATACTCATTTTGCGTAAGTGATGGTGCTGGCAATTTCACTGTTAGAGCTGGGTGGTGCCAGGGACTTGCTTGGCTCTTGTGGGAGGGGGGGCCCAGCCAGATCTGCCTGCAGCTGTGCTGACGGCGCTAATAGCCGCTATTAGTCTGCTGCTGTCCCCTGAAGAAGGATAGTAAAGAGCTTCAGCCATATCTTTTCATTAAAGTTTCTGGACGTGAACAGAAAGCTGTTTGCAAGTCTGTGTCAGATAAATAGTGGGAGTGGAGAGACTAGTTTTGTGGAATTCTTTGTGTTTAATTTTCATATAATTTTTCCCTTTCTAGCCAAGCGCATCCAGTCAAATGCCAGTCTTGTGAACATCCAAGAAAAATACAGCTGAGCTTCAAAACAAAACCTGAGAACTGCTGCTGGTATACAGTGGGTACAATTGTGTTGGAATGAGGCCGGCACAAAAGAGGAGTTAATTATGGTTTAGTATAATGATACAGAGCGACACAAGTTAAACAAAATGCAGTCTGACTTCTAAGCGAGGATATTAACAAACATGACAAGGCAGGGCTGTGTGACACTGTATGGACTCTGGTTTGGAAAAATCTGTGGGTTCTTTCAGTCTCAGGCTGAAGCTGGTGTTTTTCTGTTTCTAAGCTTTTGTACTTCTCATCAATAGAATAGCTACACTTTCCCTGCATGTTTTTTTTTCCTCTTTGATTTATCATATTTGTTTCACAGAAAACTGAGATTCTGAATCTTTTTGAGGTGACTTTCATAGACAGACAAAACTTGAAATAGTATTTGATGTTCCTGCTTGAAACATTATGTTTAATTCCACATAATATTCAGTTTTGCCAGACTTGGGATGGACAGGAAACGTTTAAAAAGAAAAGTTCACATCTTTCTGATACCTCTCTCTGAACTCCTGCTGCTGGTCTCTGGAATGAAAAACAAGGGCATGAAATATGCGGAGGAAGTGGTAATATATAATGTCCAAAGCCAGCAACAAAAGCAACAGAACTGCCAGTGCTAGACAAGAATAATAATCATTTATGACTACAGTATTCAGTTATCTTTGAAACAGGCAGCATATTTAGTCCTTTGCACACTTTAGCCACTAAAGTCACTGTTTTTCAAATGTTAAATTTTCAGAGCCTTATTTTAGATGTCTGTTTGGGTAACTGAATGCTTCGCTATTTGTTTATTGTGTTACTGCCTTTCCTTTTTAAGGATCAAGGGTATTTTTTGTTATTTTTTTCTTTTGTAAAGGAGAACTGAGGTAAAGTCAAGTCACTGGAGATGCTGAATTTCCTGGTTTAGAGCTTGCTATGGCTTAATGCAAAGGTCTTTATAGGAACTTTGTAGGGAAAAAAGTTACCTTTTCTAGATAGTATGTATTTTAGCAGTAAATGAACCAGGGGGTTCTCTAACTTAAAAATGTCCTGAAGGACAATGAAGGTACTGTGTTGGGAACTGATGGCTTTCAAGAACTAGTTTCCAAAACTAGGCCTGTGAAATAGGTGAATGTAAACAAATTCAAACTTGCAGGTTTCCGAAGTGATTGGAGAAATTTGTACAATAACTGCGGGAATCGACAGTGCTACTGATGGGCTGTGGGCACAATTCAACAGCTGCAGCAATACCAACGGTTCAGTTTGGTTATGATAGCCTTGGTTTGGGAGAGTGGTGGGGTTGAAACGATTTATGGCTGTGCTTGAGATTAATGAATGCCAGAGTCTTTGCTCCTATTTTTAAATGTGTTTACTAACCATGAGATAAAAATGAATAGCCATTACAGCTAAAAAATTAAATGCTTGGAGCCTGTGTGTCTGACATCTGTCAAAAAACCCTATGAAATAGTCTTATGTATTTGACTTGCTTCGGAGCCTCAAATGTTAACTATTTTCTTTGCACTAAGGCTCAAATAAATATATAACACTGTAACAAAACAGTCTTAAAGTTCTTCAAGTCATTGGTTGTCTTGTTTTTCTTGTTATTTTTTGTGTGTTTTTTTTTTTAGTTAGGACATACTGTCAGTTTTAAATTCAAGTTGACGGTATGTGTAATAATTAAGTAAAATACTAATATATATAATTAAGTTAGCGATTGGTCCAACCCACATGATTGCCTTTTTGTGTTTTATCAGTAGGAAGTATTTATCTCCCTCTGTTAAACATGTGAATTACTACGTCAACAGTCAGTTTCTTCTAGGTAGTTTACAACAGTAACATAAAACTGTGTTTCTCTTGCTTATTACATGAAGTTACCTTCTTGCGGCTGGGAGAGGCATGCTGCCTTTAATTAAAAAAAAAAAATTATATCTGTTATTCTTAAACTTCAACTTTCTGGGACGTATTCAGCTGCCTGCTCTAATAGCATTACATTGATTTGGGACATCATATGATTGAGAGCTGTTCAAAGCAATCTTTCATTCGTGCAGATAAAGCCAGTTTGTATGTGCAGCATTTCAGAATGACAGCTTTTATACTGTAAGCAGTGGCTTTTTGAGCACATTCATGTTAAGTAGGTCTGAAAGTCATTACTTTTGGATATGGTGGTTAAGCACTTTAAAAAAAAAATTTTGTTAAAAATCAGCTTTTCTTATTTTCCTGGCTGTTAAGCCAAACGGAAATACTCATGTGACTTTTGTTTTTTATTTTAAAGCAGCAGTAAAGTTTACACTTGAGATTTTTAATGTTACATCTGCTGCTTTCTCCCCCCCCAACTTTATACTGCTAACTTTCTTTACACAGTGTTATATTTTTGGTGGGATATTTCATATATAAATTGATTGGATTCTCTTTATACTCTATTTCCTAGAGAAATGTGGAAGCACAGTCTGTGTTGAAGGAGAACTAGAACTCTTTTTGCTGCTAGTCTTTCATCTTGGTTTATTTTTTTTCCTTTTTGGTATGTGTACTAAATAGGATGAACTTTGAAATACTAGTTGTTTGTATCTTTTTGTGCAAATAAAAATTTCTTACCGTCGGGTAGCACTTTGATTTGTATTTGTACTTACTAGGAACACAGAAAGTCAGCTCTAATAAAGATTATCAATAAACAGTGAACAGTGTGGTTACTTAATTGCTCCATGTATAGTAGTTTTGTACTCCTGCTGTTCTGAGTTTGTATTCAAAAGCACCTGCTTATTATTCTTCATTATGCCTTTTGCAGGAAAACAGCATCAGAAAGATGTTTTCAAAGCAGTGCTGCACTGAATTACAGAATAAGTGAACTGCAACTGCTGAGAAAGGGTGGAGTTTCATCTTGGCCAAAGCCTGCTGAAGTATATGGAAAGGCTCCTTTTCGTTGCAATGGAGTTTCTTGTGTGGGTGTGCGTGAGTAAGGCCAGGGGGGATAACTTGCTGTCTTTGCGGGGAGGCTTTTGGTTGCCTGCGCTGGCCACTTTTTCAGCTTCAGCAGGCACAGTGTTGGATTGCTGTTGAGCTGGAAGATTTCCTTAAAAATGGCAGTGCAGTGCCTCACCATGGAGAGAGCTGGGTGTCTTGCCTGACGAGAGTAGCCTTGTGCACCAGTGGTAGGATGTGGGTGTCTTGAAGGCAAATTTAAATCTCAGTGTGTCACTTTCTGCTGGTTTGGCTGGGATGGAGTTAACTTCATAGCAGCTAGTGTGGGGCTGTGTTTTGGATTTGTACTGAAAACAGTGTTAAATATAGGGATGTTTTTGTTGCTGAGCAGTGTTTTCACAGAGTCAAGGCCTTTTGTGCTTCTCACCCACCAGTGAGAAGGCTGGGGGAGCACAAGAAGTTGGGAGGGGACACGGCCAGGACAGATGACCTCAACTGACCAAAGGGGTATCCCATACCATTGATGTCATGCCCAGCATATAAAGTTGTGGGAAAGAAGAAGGAAGGAAGGAAGGAATGTTCAGAGTGATGGCGTCTGTCTTCCCAAGTAACAGTTACGCGTGATGCAGCCCTGCTTCCCTGAAGATGGCTGAACCCCTGCCTGCCCACGGGAAGCAGTGAATGGATTCCTTGTTTTGCTTTGCTTGCGTGTGCGGCTTTTGCTTTCCCTATTAGAATGTCTTGATCTCAACCCACGAGTTTTCTCACTTTTACCCTTTCGATTCTCTCCCCGGCCCCACTGTGGGGGAGTGAGCGAGCAGCTGCATGGGGCTTGGTTGCCAGCTGGGGCTAAACAACAACAACACTTGCAAGGGACCTCCAGGGAGGCTGGGAAAGTTGTAATGCCAGGTGTGACGTGTGGCTTCAGCTGCAGAACTAGGAACAGTTCTGGTTGCCTGTATGCTTGGGAGAGGGACTTGAAAGGGAGTAAGCACAGAAGGGCAAGAGGGAAGAGCAGGGGAGCTGGAAAGGGGAGGCTCCTTGGTGGAGGTGAAGTTTGGAGACGGGTAGCAGGGAGATGGAGAAGCTGAGCCCAGGTCCCCCACTGGTCTGGGATGAGACATGCAGGTGGGCTGCCTGTGCGGGTCAGGAACGGGAGCGAGTGGTGGGATGGCAACAGGGACTTGCCTCCAAGTTATGTAAAAGCAACTGCTTTCTTCTGGGAGGGTACTTGAACTGTGTGATGTGGTGGACGGTGTTGAAGTAATCCTGGTTCAAAGGCTCTTTACAAAGCTCCTGTTTTATTTCAGGGTGAGTGAGGGTTCCTGTTTAGCACTAAGTGGGATTTTTTTTTTTCTTTAAAACAAGCAAAAAATACTTGGGTTTTGTGTAATGGCTGCTTTTTTTCCATCTTTATTAAATGCCTGCTATAATCACAAAATGTCTTCAGTTTCCTAATGTTTTGCTTCTGGTGCTTACTGTCCAGTTAATCGAGTACCGTCAAATCTTCCTATATTTCTGCTGATTTATACATTAGTTTTCATGCCCTGAATATAGTTTCTCTGGAATGATAAGCTGTGTGATCAGCAAAGTCACCGCACTCCTAATCAGAACACATGGGTCACTTACCAATTCTTGTTCATATTTTATTATGAATTTTCCTTCTGGGACTGGTGTAAGTATTTTTAGTCTGATCTTCCTTAAGTTTGTGCAGTGTCGTGGTTTAGCCCCAGCCGGCAACTAAGCACCACGCAGCTGCGCACCCGCTCCCCCCTCCCCCAGTGGGATGGGGGGCGGAAGTGGGGAAAAAAATCGTGGGTTGAGATAAAAACAGTATAATAGGACAGCAAGAGAGAAGGAAACAACAATGGTAACCACAATGATAATACCGACAAAGGAATGTACAAGAACGAGTGATGCCCAATACAGCAATTGCTTACCCCCCGGTGATCGACAGCCCGTCCCAACTCCAGTTTATGTACTGGGCATGATGTTACATGGTATGGAATATCCCTTTGGCCAGCCTGGGTCAGCTGTCCTGGCCGTGTCCCTTCCCAGCTCCCCGTGCACCCCCAGCCTGCTCGCTGGCAGGCCAGCGTGAGAAGCTGGACTGTCCTTGACAGCTCAGCAACAACTCAAAACATCAGCATGTTATCAACATTTTCTCATCCCAAATCCAAAACACAGCCTCACGCTAGCTTCTGTGAAGAAAATTAACTCTATCCTGGCTGAAACCAGGACATGCAGGATGCACCTTCTGTATTTCTGCCAGCATAAAAAGTTACATATTGGAAGAGCAGAGCCAATGAATTCTGC